TGTACCAGCCCCGCTGCTCTGCGCCTGTCGCCCTGCCCTGCCGGAGCAGCGCGCGTGCCCTGCGCTCACCGCGGCTGCCGCAGACACACGTTTGATTTACGAGGCCGTGGTCATCTAGAACCTGCTGCTGCCGAGGGCACTTGGTGCCCAGCCAGCCCTGTGAGCAGAGGGAGCAGGGAGAGATGGGACCAGTGCCAAGAAATTGCCTGTGACTCCTTCCCATGTCCCTCCAGATAGGAGTTTTCTTCTAAAAGGAAAAAAAAAAAAAAAAAAAGACTTTAAGCTGTGATTTTAGGCCTTGCTGGCAGTAGCTCCACATCAGGGGTAGCACTTGTCTCATGGTAGCTTTGCTGCAGAGAGGAGGGATGCAGGTGCAGGCCCAGAGCGAGGCGGCAGCATGGAGGTAGATGCTAAAGCCCTGCTCTGCCCCTTACCTCAGTGCTTGCCCCTGCACTTATCAACAATGAACCCTTTAAAGTGCTCTGCCAGCTTTGATCTTGTCACGCTATTAAATAGATGCCGCTTTTTTTTTTTTTTTTTTTCTCCCCCCGCAATGGTGCTGTGGGGTGAGACTGTTGCCTTTGCTTTCATCTTTTTTTTTTTTTTTTTTTTTTTTTCCATGGAGTTGATCTGGAGAAGTCAAACATATCGGTAATTTCAATATGACATGAGTAGACAGGGCGCATTTTTAGTTTCCTGGCCTGGAGAAATTAGTCAAGATGATGCCATATCCTTCAGTGTATTAATTACTATTTTGAGACCTGATTAAATGATATGTGCTTGGATGCTGGAAATGCTGATTGTGGCCACCAAAAAAAAAAAATCTCTTTTCATTTTTGGTGCCTTGAAAAAGTTTTTATAGTAGTGTCTGTTCAGCTGGCAGTGCCCCAGAGTGGAAAATTTACAGTCAAAGTAGTACTCGACCTGATAGTGAGATGCTCATAAAGCTATATAGCTGCCCACAGTGAAAAAAATTGTACATATTTTATATGTATAATTATTATATATTCTTTACAGATAATGTCTCTCCAACCTGATTTTGTTTTGCCTTTCCCACCTGCCACGTGCACAGCTCAGTATCTCCAGCTCCTTCCTGTGTCTGTCCATCGTAATATCCCCCTTCCTGCTCCCTGGGCCTTTCCTTCATGTCTCCCTGTCTCTGAGCCCACGAGTTTGACTGGGCAAATAGTCAAATGTGCGACAGTGTGTGCTGGCCGGCAGCGCCTACACAGGTTTCTTTGGCCCCGCTGCTGTCTTTTGAAGTAAGAAAGACCCTGTGTGCCTTTATCTATCTCAGCAGAGGTACCCAGTGTTGTGTGTGTTTCTCTCCACACTAGATCCGGCATAACTGCAGAAGTTTTATCTTCTCAGTAAAGCAAGTTCCTACGATTTAAGCTGGGACACGACTGCAAGTTACCGAACCCTACTGAGCAAACTGAGTTAGGTAAAAGCGCAAACGCCAATTCATTGTTACGGAGTAATAGTGAAGAGGCAAGAGACAAAAATAAACAGAAAGAATTTTGCATTGAATATTTATTTTGATAAACAATGTGTATTCCAAACAACTACGTATAATTTCAGTTGTAAGCCACAAACTTTTGGAACTACTGTCCCAAGAGCTCTTGTCATCATAAAATAGACAGTCAATGCATTACCACATTCTGCGGACATAGGGAGCTTTCAAGTGCAAAGCAGATTATCGGAAAAGACCTATTGCCGACCTCCTTAACAGCCTGGACAATGTTAAACTCCAGTAAAAATGCTTCATATGTCTGCAATTTAGTTATCTTAGTGCCATTGTAATAAATAAATAGAATATATATCTTCTTTCATTGGGAAGTCTATAAGAAAATGTACAAAACACTATACATATAATCCGAAAAAGGACCAGCTATTTCGGCGACAGGTAAGACAAGCACTTGAACAGATGCAAAAACCAAACATCCAAACAAACAGACAAAAATCCAATCAAAATCACTCTTACAATGGCAACTGTCTGTGTGGGCAAACATGAGAACATACACAGTAATAAAAACCTTATAAAGAGGATAACTGCAGCTTGTTCAGGGACTGTTAAAAGACTGTACAAAGTAGAAGCAGTCAGTTAATTCACTAGTCAAGATGTGCAAGTGCAAATTCTAGAACAGTCAAAGATTAAAAAGCAATCATATGGCACAAAACTATTGCTGATTGATTGGTGTTGATATTAGGCTAAATTCTGCCTTCAGAGTGAGACTGACTTCACCCCAGCAGTGTCGATGTGAGCCCTTTGCATTCACAGGATTATCTGCCCCGTTACACTGTGCTATGATGCTCTAGTGTCCGTCAGCCTTAGCAGACTGCAGTGATCCCACACTAAGTATTCACAGCATGAGCTCTGGCCCTAACTCCAAACAGGCCCCATGTGACAAGCCTTGCATCAGAGAACAAGCTACTTAAAAGTTTTCTTCTTTTAATAAGATTTTTTTTTTTAGGGAAAAAGGAAAAAAAGCAAAAATTTCCCTAGAGCCAAGTCTTATGATTTCACCCTGAGAATTTCAAGACTTGTAAAATTAGAAGCTACGCTTTAGCACAAATGCAACGCGCTGAACAAGCTGGTCTAGGGGATTGACCACATGGCATGATCCTTTCGGACATTTACACAAAGAGCGGGGAAGGGAAAGTGTTAGTGACACAGCCGAACGGTGCAGCATGAAGGACAACCCCTGCCCTGGTGGTGCTTTGTAGAAAACCAAATCCCTAAGCAGGAACAGTCTTGTGCAGGAACAGTCTTGCTTTCCTTCATGCAGTTTATCAACTGCTCAAGACAGACATGCGCTTGTTTTGGTCCATCTCTTGAGCACGTGTGTTGCACCAACACAGTGTGACAGGTGCAATTACATGACCAGAACTGCCTCCGGATAGTGTGTACACGGAGACAGCCCACAATAACATAGTGATTTTTTTTTCACTGTATTTCAGGGAACTGGTTCTGTTTTGGCCATCAGATAAATGAGGTTTAGATATGTTGAACTCAAAGTGAAACTAGCTTTTTAGAATAATTTTGTGATTTGAGGATGAAACCCGCAAACTATCATAACACATTGGAAAAATACTTGTTTGCCTTTTAATAGCATTGCCTGGTCTGGGAGTGGCACAGATACCTAAAGAATAAAAATAATTGTGCTGGAAGGAGAAATCCTTCATTAAGAGGCTCTTGTTGAGAAGCATGGGAGGAAACATTGGATTTTTTCTTTTTTTTCTTTCTTCCTTCCTTCCTTTCTTTCCTTAAATACAACACACATGACATTCAGCTTGTTCAAAACAACGATATAGTAAGACTGAAAAGAATATTTCCAGTTTCAAAACCCAGGAGAGGCTTGAGGGGCATGTTACCCACAGCACTGCCTGAATTCTGCTGATGATTGCTTTGACTTTCAGAGCAACTGTCCTAAAAATTAAGGACAGGGCTTATAGTTTGACATCTGTCTGGCCTTTGGAATGGCACACAGAATCATTGCTCTTTCATTCTCTTCACAAGCTAATATATTTTGGATACCACGGGAAGAAAAAAAAAAGGCAACTTCCTTCTGCTGTATTTTAGAGCTCTTGTGACTAGGTCACCATCAGCAATCACAACAATTTTTGTAGCAGCAGTGGCAGAGAGGGATAAAAGGAGGAAACAACATGTATTTTTGGCAATATTGATAATTTCATGTGCTTTGAAAAACTATTCTTCCTACATTTTATCCCTCCTTAGATTTCTTAGACTCGTCAGGCTTAGGAGAAATATCACTGAATACTCTAAGTGCTTACAAAGATTTACAAGATAATGTTCAACTTCTCAGGTTCAAGAGATGTCTCAGCAGGACACGCTAATCTGCCTTTATTAGTAGGTTTTTAGCCTTGAAGGTTATGCTTTGAAGAAGGGGGAAAGGAGATTCAAGAGAGCCCGCTAGTTATGGGGGTTCCCGCTCCAATTCTTCAGCTACCTGGTGAGACCTCAATGATTCCCCTCTCGGTGGCCTGCTGGCCTCACACGGCTCTTCCAGGAGGCCTGAGACACTCACACCCGTAGCCTGAGGACACGGTAGGAAGGCAACACACAGCAGGGCAGCCTGAGCCTGGCCCTCTGGCTTGCCTGGAAAGGGGAAACCATCACCCTGTAGCAGGACAAGCTGTGGCCCAGTATTCCCAGCTGTAAACTGGAGTCTTGGACAGGATCCTCTCTTTGGCTGGCGACTATAAACCTGCCAGTTTGGTCCTGAATATTGTTGTAGGGAGGGACTGCATGGGAAAGGGTGAGGAAAATGTGCTTTTTGACAGTTCTTTCCTGTTGGCCTACGGCTGCTTGCCTAAGGAAAACCTCTACCTGAAAAAACACTGTTAAAAAACCCCCAAAACTCAACCCATAGGAGAACTGTTCTTTTCTAAGCAGACAGGAAGATACGGTCTCATCAATCCCATTTACACTTTATTTGCTCCTCTGTCATTTCTTCCCCAACTACATGCCGTGAGTTAGCACGTGCAATGCAGAAAGACCTCAAAGAGCTCGATGGAATATCTTTGAAGCCATGGGGAAAATTCTTACTGTCTAGTCAAGTTTCCCAGCATCTGAGTAATCATTCAAATACACTCTTTTTAATCTTAGATTTTTCAGCCAGCCTTCAAACTGGCATTCTGTGTTTACGTGAGCAGCCAGTAACACTATGGAAAAAGAGTGTTATGACGATTCAGAAGCTGGGAGAGACAATAATCCTCGATAGCCTTGAGATCTAGAACTCACCCTTTGAGAGGCAGCACATCAATTAGCCTGTCACAGGGGTGCTAAAAAAGCAGCACCTTGTAAAAACAGTGAGGCAAACCTTGCTTTGTAACACAAGAGTCAACATGGTATCACGGAGCAAATCAGCAGGACAGCAGCTGATGATCACAGAACATAGGCTGGTCACAGAGGAATGCTTTTCTGTCACATGTGGCCGCTCTAGCTACTTACAGTAAGGTTTTGTTTTGAAAACAACAACAAAATGCTACATCCCTGGAGCACTCTGGCAATGTGCCTGTTGTGAGCAGTCAGTAGTCCGTCTATCGGGGCAGTGCTGGTAGCCAGAAGGCAAAGCAGTGTGTCCTCATAATTTCATTTTCTTCACCACAGGAATCGGCAGTGCTTGGTAGATCTTAGCTGAATCCTCGTCGGTGACCATTTTCACCCAGACTGGGCGGAAGCTGCCTTTGAATCCAACAAAAGCCATTTTTTCTGCAAATCAGAGCACATACATTAGGAGGGCCTCACGGGTCCAATAAGGCCAAGTGTGCCCAGACGCCCGCTCGGCTGAACAGATGTAGGGGGACTTGAGCACATAAACCTTCTCCAAACTAATGGA